TTTTTTTTTCATGCTCTCATCTTTATGGCTATGCCAATGTGGTTTTGATCTTAAGGTGATTGTACGATCTTCAAGATGTTTTGAAATGTTTTTTTTTTAAAGAAGAAGATGTTTTCAAATTTTCAAAATAATTTTACAAAAGAAACTACATAATATCTTTGATTTTCGAATTTAAACTAAAAAAATTTAAGTGCTATAACTACATAACTGTGAAAACTATTCGGACATGGAATCATGTCTTTGATCGTTAGAGGTGTCAAATTCATTTTTTTTCAATCTACGTAAAACAACCAAGAATAACAAATATTGAGAAACTGAGAGAGTAATATCTTGCTAACCTATGTAATGCTAACAAAACGTTTAACCTCATGATTCTCATCTAGGAGAAAATAAGAACTTATTTGATATCAACTAAAGATTGGAATAGTGGCGAGATTAGGCCCGTCCAAAGGGAAGAAAGAACTGTGGGCCTTCTAAGTGAGAGGAATAGTTATATATTCTGATGGGGACGTGTATGGACTTCGGTAATCGGTCTAGAACTCTTTAGAACATCAGGGAATCATTAATGGTAACACTTTTAATAGTGTCTTAAAAGTAAAAATGATTAAAAACTCATTTAATTATTTGATGTCTTTATCAAAAATGTCTATAGGATGAACTTTTAGAACCATTTATTTAGAGTGTGAAGTGTTTTTAATATTAAAAAATTACTTAAGACATTTTATGAATATCTTGGATAATGATGGTTTCATTAATGAAAACACTTTAAGAGTGTTTTTAAAATAAAAGTGATCAAAAACATTATTTAATTAAGACACGGAAATCGGGTCTTTGTGTCAAATCATTTTTTAATATTAAATTTAATTTGAAAAAATTATTTAAGACTCTTTAAAAGGATTACCATTAATGATGCTCTTACATCGAATAATTTACAAATAACCGGGAAAAAAATAGTTTTTGGTTCGAGATTTCGCAATTCTAATAATTAAAACCATAAGTTTATTCTTACGTTACTGAAACATAATGATGTGTGCCATAATTTTAATCATTACTTTAAAGTTCAAACCATAGCTTCGAATAAAAAGAAATCTCAAAATAAAACAACAAGCAGCAAATAAAAAATACAAGCAGCAAACGACGTCGTTCGCAGATCCATCTGCATTACACATCTTTACGCAAGGAGAGATCGGGACGACTTCTTTTCTGTGTATCCATGTAAGGATATCAAGTCATTAGTAAGTCTTTCCTTAGGCAAGGAGTGAACGGGACGACGTCGTTTGCTAATCCATTTGCATTATCGCAAGAAGCCTGAGCCGGTCGGTTAACCAAGCCGAGATTCACATCGTTCATTACAATTCCGGTACATGGTTGTTCCTTACTACAATCCAATATAACCGCCACATCCGTACTCGATGTACCATGTATATCTTCGTATCTCACATTAGATACTTTAACACCAGATTCCTATAACAAATATACATATTTAATGACTCAATATATCGAATTATGTGTCTAAGATATATTGTTGATTCCTATAACAAACCTTTTTTGGGCAAGGTTTGTCAGGACAATAGTGTTGGTCTATAATGATTGGGTTCTTGACCATCTTCATATTAATATGTTGGAAAACGATGTTTCTAGCGAAACTCTTGCTATATTTCCCCCATGTTTTGATCCTAACTCCGTTTTGGGTCCCTGTGAAATCCACGTTACTCACGGTCACGTTTTCTACTCCTTGTTCTGCCTCTTCTCTCCCAAGACTTCCAATACTGTTTTAGAACACACAAAGAAGAAGAAGAGCTCCTTTTAACAAGTTTAGATATTAAGTAACTTGTGGAGCAAGAAAGTATATTTTTGTTACCTAATGCCGTGGCCTGGACCACATTGAACGTTTTGTATGTTTACATAAGTGGATCCTGGACCGATGGAGATACAATCGTCACCGGTTCCGATTCTCGAGTTAGTTATATGGACTGAGTGAGATGCTTGGACGTGAATCCCATCGGTGTTAGGGCTATTCCCATCAGCAGAAACCTTAACACCGTCAATGTTCACGTTGTTGCTATTGTCGATAACTATATGGAATTTCTGGCTGTTGATCGACGTTAGACCGTTGATATTGATGTTATTCGACCCGGTAAACAACAATGTCTGCAAAATCAATTGAAAAAAAAAAAAAAGTTAACTAAAACCGCATGTATGTACATTAAGAAAACTTATTATTTCTTGTGAGTCAAGCAAACCTTGGCACCGGTAGGGCAATGTCCATCTTCGTTCTTGCATTTCCATAAACCAGTGCCTTGTGCGTCAAGTACCCCACCGTAGATTGAAACATCAGTAACTTGTTCGAACATGATCCACTGTTCTGACCTTGCGAGAACTCTAAAATCTCCTGGAGCAATGATTGAGCCGGCTATACGAAAAGATATTGGACCATCCTTACACTTGTTGCCTTGGAAAACAAGGTTACCGACCAAGAATCGTCCTTTTGGTACGATGATAGTTGTAGGATTAGCCGAGGCACAAGCGACGTTCCAAGCGGCTAAGAAGGCTTTGGTTGAGTCTGTTGAACCGTCTGGTTTAGCTCCGTAGGTTAAGACGTTAAGTGTGGTTGGATTCGGTTGGGATAATGATGAGATTAAGATGAAATCAAGAAAGATGAGAGCCAAAGGAAGAATAACAAATGAAGTTTTGTAAACCATTTTTGTTGTGTGTGTTTTTTCAGAAAAGGTTAGGGTTTTGAGGATGAAGGATATTGGAGAAGAAGGTATGTGAGAGGAGACTTTATAGGATTTCAATGATAGTAACGTAATGATTAATTTCTATGTATAATGTATCCAATTGTCTCAACTTGTACTCAGATCATGGGGGTGATTAGTTTCTATGTTAGATTTGATATGTAAGAGTATTAAATCTTCACGAGGTATATTTCCATACACTTAAACAAACAATTTCTATAAACTACACCATTAGTGTACGGGGGTACGAAATTAGGTTAGTAAATTTTGACAGAGATTTAAAAATGATTTGGGTTTATTGACTATTATAATTGGTGAATATTTAGTTGAAAAACTTATATAAGATTTCTTTTTAGTAAGCGTAAATGCGTAATTAATAGAAAAATATGGTGTAGATTACATGATCAGTGGACTCATGACCACTCAACGTTTTTGGCAGATTTTCGAAATAATGGTTGATTTTTAGACAAAAATGGATTCACCAATCGAGAAAGAATATCTATAAATGTGAAATATAATACATAAAACATGCATTAAACAAAGGATGTCCGATCCGTATCATTTTCTTGTAGTGCCACGAGATTCGTATATCACTTGCTTTAAACTCACACTTCATTACGTAAGATTCAGTTTCTTGAATTATTAATAATGTGGCTTTGAAATTGTTGAACAAACACTTTCTTTACATTGAAGAGGATAATACGGAGCCACCAAAATAATGCAACTGTCCAACCGAAACAAACTAGCCACCTTTGTAATACAAACAGAAGAAAATGGCGCGAAATCAAGGAGGCTTGTCTTTTTTTTTTTTTTTTGTCAAGCAGGAGGCTTGTCTTATATTATATTTTTTCTTTCTTTCATAAAATAAATAAATCACACCTCTAAAAACACATATAATGATAATGAAAACTTCTACCAATACTTAAAAACAAAAAAAAAAATCTTACACAAGTAAATAAAAATGATATAAAACTTAAAACCAATAACACAAGTTTTATACTTACACAACACATATCAAATCATCAATGGTTGCTCTTGGGCCATATTCTACAAAGCAAGGCCAGGCTGTAGACCCAATGGGCCACAAACGCCACAGGCTCATGCATCTCAAATCCCTCCGTGTTTTCAAGCCGTACATACCGAAAACAACGAAGTTATAACTTACATATCTCTAGTTTTCATTTTAAGAATCCGAATTTAAAAGGACATTTTTAAAAATCTTGTTCATAAATTTTTCTTTGTCATAGGCAGTTTGGCTGAAGAAATCCAGCTTCTATCCCTCCGGCGTGAGTACAAGCCGATGCAGCCGGTTTATCCCGGTACATTAATTTCACATCCTCGAGTCGAATCCCGGTACATGGTTTCTTAGAACTACAATCGAGTTTCACTCCAACTTCAGTTGCCGATGTTCCATGTATATCTACGAACAATACATCGCTGATTTTGATCCCCGAAACCTAAAAAATCGCAGAAAAAAACCGATCTATCTCCAATATAAAAGATTTGTATGTATATATATTACTTAACTAGATTAAGTTAAGTACCTGGCCAGGGCAATTTTCGTTACGAGGACAGTAGTTTTGGTCGATGACGATAGGATTCTCTACATTGTTCATTACACAATGTTGAAAACGGATGTTCTTAGCGAAACCACTACTAGGCCTGGCCCATGATTTGATCCTCACTCCATTATCTGTTCCTGTAAACGTCACCGTTTTTACAGTCACGTTCTGTACACCTGATTCCACACTATCTTTCCCCAAACTCCCAATGCTACAAAATGCAATATCACAATCCAATATATTAACAAAAGAAAAAAACACTTTGTCTAATTAACTGTTATAATATGAATGAATATAGTAGACCAATAAATATATATATTAACTTTTTTGTTCAAAAATATATTTTCTTATAGTAATATTGATTATTATTTAATTTTTTTATGTTTGTATGTTTCAAAAATTTGAAATTCATTTTGAACGCATTCAATTTTGTATAATAAGGTATATATATACATGCGTATACCTGATGCCATGACCAGGACCACATGCGACATTTTCGATCCAAAGACCGTTAGTGCCAGGACCAATGGAGACACAATCGTCTCCAGTGGAGATTTTTGAGTTGAGGATTGAGACTGTGGAGGAAGACTGAACGTGGATACCATCGGTGTTAGGGCTGTCTCCGGCGGCTAATACTTTGACTCCTTGAAGCTTCACATCGTTGCAACCGTTGATGACGACATGGAACATTTGGCTGTTGAGTGACGTCAGCCCGGAGACCACGACTTTGCTTGAGCTCTGAAACCCTATGGTCTATTGATGATTCACATGATCAGAAACGTCTCATTTATCAATTGAAGCATATACAAAAAAAACATACTCTATGAGATATTGATTGTATGTATCCATTGTTGGTTAGTCCATGTGAATTGGGAATTGTGGGATTTTATTTAAAGAAACCGATTAAAACTTCATAACTCAGAAAAGGGTATCCTTAACTAATTATGTGGGAATTAATTAAGCAAAAACTAGCTTTGGTCTACATTCCGAATTGTAGGGAAAAAAAAATTATAATGGCTAATGAAATTAACTTAGTAACTTTCGACCAAAAAAAAAAGGCTAATTAAATTAATTAGGGGCAAAATGGTAAATTTTACGTACTGTTGCGCCGCTAGGGCAAATCTTGCCGGACTTTTTACAATCCCATAGAGATGTTCCTTGAGCGTCAAAAACTCCGCCGTAGACGGTGATGCCGTCGAGATGCTGAAATAAAATCCAATAATCTTCATTTCCGGTACCTCGATAATCAGCCGGAGCCACCAATGTACCGTCGATATGGAATGTGACCGGTTTGGGATTGCACTTGGAACCATCGAAATTAGCGCTCCTTAACAAGAACCGACCTTTAGGAACCACAATGGTAACGGGACGAGACGAGGCACAAGCAGTTGTCCAAACCGCCATGAACGCTTTGGTTGCGTCTGTCTTTCCGTCTGGTTTAGCTCCGAAAGATAAGACGTTGTAAGATTG